TTCTGATTGTTTTTCACTAGTTTTGCATTTGGCTAGGGTCAGTGTCACTATTGGTAGCATGAGGCGATACCTGGGCCTTACAGAGGTTGCGCAGGCAGTCCAACTCCTCCAGGATGGCACATTAATACATACCATTTCCAGAAGGTTTGCTGTGTCTCCCAGCACAGTCTCAAGAGCATGGAGGAGATTCCAAGAGACAGGCAGTTACTCTAGGAGAGATGGACAGGACAGTAGAAGGTCCTTCAACCATCATCAGGACTGGTATCTGCTCCTTTGTGCAGGGAGGAACAGGATGAGCACTGCCAGAGCCCTACAAAATTATCTCCAGCAGGCCACTGGTGAATGCCTCTGACCAATCAGAAAACAGACTTCATGTGGGTGGCCTGAGGGTCCGACATCCTCTAGTGGGTCCTGTGCTCACTGCACGGCACCATAGAGCTCGATTAGCATTTGCCATTGAACGCCAGAATTTTCAGGTCCGCCAGTGGCGCCCTGTGCTTTTCACAGATGAGAGCAGGTTCACCGTGAGTATGTGATAGATGTGAAAGGGTCTGGAGAAGCCGTGGAGACTATTCTGCCTGTAGCATTGTTCAGCATAACTGTTTGGTTGTGGGTCAGTGACGGTCTTGGGAGGCTAATCCATGGAGGGATGCACAGACCTCTACAGGCTAGACAATGACACTTTTACTGCCATTAGGTATCAGGATGAAATCCTTGGAACCATTGTCAGACCTTACGCTGGTATAGTGGGTCCTGGGTTCCTCCTGGTGCATCACAATGCCCGGTCTCATGTGGCGAGAGTATGCAAACAGTTCCTGGAGGATGAAGGAATTGATATCGTTGAATGGCCCCCATGTTTTCCTGGCCTAAATCCAATAGAACACCTCTGGGATATCATGTTTCGGTCCATCTGACGCCGCCAGGTTGCATCTCAGACTGTCCAGGAGCTCAGTGATGACCTGGTCCAGATCTGGGAAGAAATGCCCCAGAACACCATCCATTGTCTCATTAGGAGCATGCTCCGATGTTGTCAGGCATACATACAAGCACGTGGGGGCCATACAAACAACTAAGCACTATTTTGAGTTGCTGCAATGAAATTTCAGCAAAATGTACTAGCCTGCTGCTTCATTTTTTTACTTTGATTTTTGGGGTGTCTTTGAATTCAGTCCTCATAGGTTGATAATTTTCATTTCCATCAAACGATGGAGCATCCTTACTTTCCTAACACATTACCCAGCCCATATCAGTATAGATATCCAACATGATATTTTTCCCCATTGAGACCTGATGTGTTTCCAAAGTGTTCCTTTCATTTATTTGAGCAGTGTATGTCAATAAAATGTTTGGATATCATTCTTTTGGTCGGTTTGCACCTGATGGTTGAAAAAATAACATTTTATTTTGTATTTTGACCTTTTGACTATGGATTATTTTGATGGTATTGTTTCTCCCTCTAAGTAGAGTGGAGTGTAAGTGGAGTTTTGCATCTAAGCTAGGTACTTTTATATTTATATTTATATATATATATATATATATATATATATATATATATATATATATATATATATGTATATATATATATATAGTATTTAGGGGGTGCAAAATCCCCCTATGAGTGGAAGACGGGCAGATGAATAAAAAGGTCCGCCTTCTCCATTCATGGATCTCTTTTTATTCATGGGGGCAATAGTACAACTTCTTTGAATTGGGGGGCGGGGTGAAAAGGGTGGGCATAGCCAGCACTCTAGATGAGTGCTTGTATTAACTCCCTGTTTTTCCAAACTGTGGCTGAGGAGAAGACACGTGAGGTCTGCCATGTTCAAGCTGTATTAGAGGTTTCCATCACAGTGTGACATTTATGTGTGATTAAGCCATGCTACATTGAAAACTCTTCAATGTGTTTGAAAAAAATGAGGTCTGATCAAGGAATTCACACATCAAAGATGGTGGCAACAGCACTGACAGTGATTTTTGGAGGAATTGATGTGGGAAGATTGTACTAAACCCAATATATTTGTAAATAAAATATTAGATTTGGTCACATACTCATCCATACCCAGAAACACTAGGTATTTCGCTGTTGCTTCTACAGAGAACAGAATGGTGGGTTAGTACAGTAGACATGAGTATAAGTGGGTCGGAGTGTGGGTTTTCAAGAAACTTCGTCGCTTTTCCTTCAATAGGCAGAGTGACAGAGTCTCTTTAAGGAGGCTGAAAACTAGTTAGACCTTCTTTGGAGTTGATCATCCAAGTGTAAGGGCCTGTTCAAAGACTCCATTCAGCTTATAGCTATTAAGGCAGACCCTTGCACATTTTAATGGTCAGAATCCAACTAGTGGTAAGAATCTAACTAGTGTTTGGCCTAGTTTAGACTGCAGCAACTGAAAGTTGGTTGTTACACACATCTTCTTGTCAAAGGCGCCATCAGTGATCCTTTGATTCTACTGTGGGAATTCTCTTACATTTGTTTAAGAAAACCTATCACCTTATCACCTGCAGGTATGCACAGGAGGTGCAAAGTACCATGACATTGTTAAATGCATTATGTAACAGGCTACATTCCCTTGGTAAGATTAATTTCAGCTTTTCCATAGAAAACTATGTGATTGGGATTTGTGTGAAGACTTATTGTGGGAATCCCGCATGTTTTGGTCTTGAAAGTTTGTCAGTTGGTGCACCTGCAAGCTGAAATATACAGTATGGTACTCACACACAGACCTCCCAGATTAAATGGAGCACGTCTAGAATGTCCGACTTTGACATTCTTTCTTAAGCAGCCGGTGTCAGTGGAATGAAGAGTCTTCTCATGCTGGATTAGTGCTATGCTTAGAGGAAAAAGAGGGCCTAGATTAGGTAGCATGGATTTATTGTCACAGACCACAGTAGAAATTGTTTAGATAGTTTACCGACTTATAGGACTGTGGCAACAACTGTAAAGAACTATCTCAGGTTCCATGCTGTTGTTTCATAACTATTGTCATCCAAACCTCTCTCCAGTGAGAAAATCTCTGCTATTACTTACAGTATTTTATTGAGACTACAGAGCGTGACTGCTTTCCTGACCTCTCTTGGAATCCTCTCTATTTTTATTCTAATTTGAAAGAGGTAGTGTAGAGCAGGTAAATGAGCTGTAGTGGCAGCAGTTCAGTTTACAGCTGGACAAAGGGAACACATATTTTCTAAATAGGGGTTATCTTTTCTTTTTCATTGTTCCGCATGTTATACATTCCTTTTAGAGCACATATACATGACTGATTATGCCGCTATATTGGCACTTAGCTGTTTTACCCAAATCCCGCACATAGCATCATTTACAAGTGGTCTTTCTGGTCTTTTGCCAAGCATTAACTTAGAAAACAAATTAGGCTTCCATGCACACTGGGCGTTTTGATAACACTGGTAACGTTAGCTGTGTATTGAGTTTTTCAGCTTTTTTTGGCGTTTTTGCATCAGCGTTTTGCTGCGATTAGTGGTGTTTTGCCACATTTGCGTTGTTTAGCGGGTTTTTTTTTTTTGCCAAAAAGAAAATTTTTGGATGGTCAAAAAAATATCCAAAAACACCCGTTTTGTGGTGGTTTAACGCGTTTTACCAATTTTTTAGCGTTAGAGCATTTTTACAGCTAAAAACCTCCTCTAGAAACCCACTAGTTCTGGGTTTTTTTCCAGCGAAAAAACGTTGATTACAGTCTATGTGTGCATGGACACATAGGATAACATGCTGGGAAGTTTACTGGCTGCAGAAAAAAAACATCAAAAGCCAAAAACAGCAGCTGTAAAAACGTCAAGTGTGCATGAGGACTTATTAATATTCAAATACATTAGACTTAGTCAAACACATTTGGATGCTTAGTACCTGAACTGGCTTAAAATGAGGAACCTAAAGGTACCTTCGAACATTAGGGAACATTCACCCTTTCCAGCCATTTGTTGTCAAAGTAGAGAACTGTCCTATGTATATCCAGATAAGATGGTGCAGCGCTAAATAATAGTACACGATTAATACACACAATATGCTAGTGCAAACTTGTGTGAATACGTGATGTCACTCAGATGGTGATCAATAAATATTTAAAAAGTTCAATATAATGGTGCGGATCATAGAGAGATCCTAATTCCAGGTGAGTGGACGTCCTGATCTAAGGTGTGATAATTGGTGCAAACCACACAAATAGGTGCTTTAATACTGTGCAAACATAGGACAAGTAGCCCAAAACTCAAAAAATTATACAAATAATTCCATAAATAGTGTAGCATACGTAACGTTTCTTTTTTTTCAATTAAATATGACCTAATAACTTTTCTATTTCAGCTTGTGGCCATCCACAATATATCTTACAAAATGTTAGTACTATATTTTACATTTTACATAAATGTCAGGTTGATAAAAGATACCTCTAATTCAACCAACAGAAAAAAATAAATCAATAGAATAAATAGAAAAAAACTTAATATACAGAATGCTACACCCACAGTTGAGCCAGAGGAAGGCAAAAATCTCTATAAAGCTTGATCCAATTTGATCCAGTGAGGGGAAAAATAAATTCCTTCCTGATCCCCCAAAAGCAATCGGATATTCCTTAAATCAACAATCACTGGTGGTATTACCTATAAATGTCAGCATCCAGTTATATTTTGTGTATTTAGGAATGTACCCAGCTCTTTTTTTTAAAACAATCTACTGAGCTGGCCAGAACTAGTTTTTGAGAGAGTCTATTCCACATTTTTACAGCTTACTGTGAAGAAGCCTTAATTACCATATTTTTTTTGTCTTAGCATGAAAATAGGCCCCTAATTAAACAGAACACACTAAAGCAATGTTATTCAATTTGTAATAAGTATCATGTCCTATAGAAACTTTTTTATTGACTATAAATAAGGTATAATTCAGAACAAGAATCTGGGAGGCCAGATCTTCTCTGCTTAACTGTAGTATGAAAAAAAATGATGTGTGGAATATAATTACATTTTCACTGAAAGCCATATCCTTTTTCTTCTACGTGTTTACAGTTCCACATCATGAAAACAACATATTTTACCATTTTGATGTTGAAAGAGGGCTGAGCGCAGATGAGAATGAAGAAAACGATGATCCAGGTAAGAAATTGTATTAATGGAAATAGTTTTACTCTTTATTGGATTCTCTACTTACAGATCCAGTACCTTTAGTATCTAATAGCTCAAAATTGCAGCTTACCCCTTTTGGCCAATTAACTCCTCCTCCTGGGACAGAGAATTGGCATTGTGTCATTGAATGATTGGCTACACACTAGGCAATGGGGGCAACTTTTTGAATGAGCCCTACTTTCTGTTTTATTTTCCATAACACGATTTTTTGTTTCAGTTTACCCTATTTAATTCATCAGTATTATTTTTATTAGAAGCTATCAGGCAAGTGTTGGCTAGCAGCCTGGCTTATCACTTCATATACAAGACAAATTCCTACATGTAATGTTGTGCCAGCCATTTAAGTGATTATGATATGCTAGAACCACTGCCATAACTACAGAGGTCGCAACAGCGACCCTGCATCTGCTCCAGGTGGCCAATGCGGCTGGTAGAGAATGACTTAAAGTGAAAGCAAAAGGTGGGAAAGGTGTTTTCCCCAGTAGTGTGCGCTCTGCCTCCCCCTACAGTGCAGTACCCCGCTGCGTCAGGGAAGGTACTGTTCTGCTGATTTTGTTTTGAAAGGCTGCATACGCGTGTGTGTGTTTTTCAGATCTGCTTCTGTATGTGTGTATGCAGTGGCAGAACTACCAGGGCTGCAAAAGTCACACTTGTGACCAGGCCCTGGAATTCAGCCAACATGGGGGGGAGGAATGGGCAAATCGTCAGAACATGTGAAAGGGTCCTGCTGCGGATCAGTGGGAAGGGCCCCGGGACCAGCGGAAAGGGGGTCTTCATTGTTTCTTGCATCAGGGCCGTGAAGGTTCTAGTTATGCCTCTGGCTAGAACCCATAGCAAGTGTTAATTCTAATATAATATAGAGCTGCATATGTCACACCAAATAAAGCTTCACTTACTAAATTGAAGTGGAACTCCAATCAATCACCTAAAAACGTTGTTTAATACATATATGTTAACTATTTTATTTGCCAAATGATTTTTAATTAGCAATTTACACACCTTAGCATTTTCACCTCTGTCCAGTTAGCAGGGAGATGATAAAGGAAGGAGAAGTAAGTACAGCATCTGGAAGTAGTGGAGTGATCTTACTGGCTGTGCAATAAGGCAAATCTATGTAAATCAGAAGAGTAATACAATGAACTACTGTTAAAATTGCTCTTTACACTGATGTAATTAACACCCATTAGGAATGAGAGCCATTCAAGCAATATTGCCTCATTTGCTTTAGTTTTTACTTGGCCATAGACACAGGATGGTGTTTTTAGATCTAGTTGCCACACAGTGATTCAGTGCATTGGTCATGGTATACTTTATCTCAGGGGAACAGTATACATTCTACCTTCAAGATTGATTGCCCAAAGGTATACAATCACTTCCCACTTTGACTGTTATCAGTCAGATTGGACAGCAGTAATCTTGCCTTTTGTTTCCCCTAACAAGCACAGCAATTGGTTACAGGGAATGTTCAGTACGAAGCAAGAAAACGATAGGATAAATTGTTGTAAGGAACAGAGAAAAAATAAGCTTGAGCTGAGTGTGGAGTAAAATGCTTAAAACAGACCTTCACCCTCTTCAACTACTTCCCTTCACTCCACCCCTCCTTCCATCCTTTATATGTATCGCACTGGGTTTTTTTCCACCTCTTTTTAAGCAGAAATGTGCGGCACACACTGTACCTCCTAGGATATACACATCACATATCCCAGGAGGCATAGCCTTCGATTCAGGAAAGGAGGAGGGGCTGGCCTTTCAGTACATCCTCTGGAGGCCCTCTTGATCTCAGAACATGGCGGCATGGGACAGAGCTGTGGCCGGACATGAGAGGATCTCAGCGGGACAACGTTGGATCCGCTGGATGAGTGGGTATATGAAATGTGCAAATACTTCCTTAAGGTAAGCGGGAGTGAAAAGAAAACTAGGAGGGGGGGGGGTGGAGTTGACTTTTAGTGCACCTACGGTTAGCAGCCCTCATCGCCCACACCCAGCATCCAGGGCATACTAACCTGTCCTCCCTATTTGCCCCGATCTTCACTGTACAACCTGCTTGGGCTTTGCTTCTCCTAAAAAAGAAGAAAAAGGCAGCTCAGTCTGCAATACTCAGTTTCAGTCCACTGACCCCTGCAATACCTCTTCTCCACCATAAGATGTCTTCAGCCCTCCTGAAAGATTGAAGTGTATGGGGGGGGGGGGGGGGGGGGGGGGTGTATGACATGTCACTATGGGAGGTAATTGCACTGTACACCTCATCCTGGGTGTACATCTGGCTGATGGGTCATAAGGGAATGATTTGCCTGTCTTTGCTCACTGTCCTGAAATGAGGAATAATACTCTCATTTTTGGAATATGTGATGGAACAAGACATGTAAATACTTTGTTTTAAGAAGGATGTACTGTGTTATACTTGTTTAATTGAAAACATAAGGGTCCGCATATCGTTTGCATTTCTTTTTTTATATTTTCACTGATCAATAAATCTTTGGCAAGCCTTAAACTTCTCATTGCATTATTGTTGTGGAAAACCTCAAATGATATTTTACTGGGTTTCCTATTGCATATTATGCTTACTTAACAGCATTCTTTGTTTGTGTGCCTTGCACTTGCCTTCTGTAGGAGTATTGATCCACAGCTGCAATTTTGACAATGGACTATGTGGCTGGATTAGAGATAAAGACAATGAATTACACTGGGAGCTGGTCAAAGATGCTTCAGGTAAGCCCCCCATTCTGCAACGTGTAAGCATGTAATTAAAAGTGTTCATATTTAATAATCAGTCATGCCATGAATTATTCACATTAATAAGTACATTATTTAGATCATAAATATTAATATGTATTCTGAAATTGAAAGTTAACCAAAATTACATTGTTGACAGTTACATATGGTAGATTAATGTGGACAAATGCAGGTAGTCAACATTATACAGAAGAAGCAGTAGTATAATAGCAATTTACAAAATGTAAAAGTTTGCATATATTGTAAAAAGAGTCATTTCTGTATTTTAGATACAGATATAGATAAGAGTAGGGATAAGCAGATCAAATTTTGGTCATGTTTTAGGTATAGTTTGTGGGTAATAAAGTGAAAACCCATGAAATGTTATGAAGAGAAATACAGCACAATGAGTTAGATCAGCAAGGTGGACATACAAGCTGCAACATAGGTGGTGGATTTGACAGGGCGATTTTTAAGTAGAAATTAGGGAAGGGATCCCAGGGGGTCAGTATCTGGTACTAGGTGACACTGGTGCTGGTGGCAGTCAGCAGACATAATATATAGGAATATATGCACATTTATTTGTTTTATCTCTTTAAATACATGGCAAATACAGAAAAGTAAAGCTGGCCATACATGGATCAAAATTTGGTCAGTTCAATAGGGACCAGACTAACTTTGATCCATATATAGACACTCTGGTTGTACGGAGGTCAAGCTACTGATCGACTTCTGTACAATCAGCCTGTCAGGCTATTACTGATTGTCCAGTGCAGTTGGCTATAGCCAGCAGCACTGATCAGTGTATTGTGAGGGTTGGACAGGTTCTCTGCTGTCAGAACACAGTAGCACAGTGGGGGATTTGATGTGGATGAGGGAGTCAGGTAATTACTTTTGCTCAACCCGTTGGTTGAAGGCAAAAAATTATGAATGTATGGGCTGCTTTACAGTTGAAAAGCAAAAAAATCTAGCATGCTCCTACCTTTATCTTTGACTTTACAGCACAGCTCTCAATTCCTAAGCATGTGATGTCAGCCCTGCCTACTTAATACCTGATAGATTGCAAACAACACAGCCCTTTCCTGATCATTTTCTTCCTCCTAATCTCCAAAACTATGACTTGCAGAAAGCACATGAACTTATCTGCTCATAACATTTCTGGCAAAATCAACAAACATTTTTGCACTTATCAGTCAGATATAACAAACACTTTTAATGGTACATTTAGCAGACAAAAAGTGAGCAAATAGGAGAGGTTCTTTGTAAGGCTCCATGCACACTGGGCGTTTTAATTACGCTGGTAACGTTGGCTGTGTAAAGTCATGTTAAATACATGAGTTTTTCAGCGTTTTTGCATTAGCGTTTTGCGTCTTTTTTTAACACAAAAACATTTTTTTGCTCAAAGTCCAAAATCGCTGGTTTGCCGCGATTTACCACGTTTTTCAGCGTTAGAGTTTTTTTTTACAGCTAAAAAACTCCTCTAGAAACCCACTAGTTGTGGCGGTTTTTTCCACCCAAAAAACACCCCTGCCAAAAAACATTGATTACAATCTATGTGTGCATGGACACATAGGATAACATGCTGGGGAGTTTACTGGCTGTAGAAAAAAATGTCAAAAGCCAAAAACAGCCGCTGTAAAAACGTCCAGTGTGCATGAAGACTTAGGGTTTACATATCAATATATGGTTTATAACTTCTTGCTTCTCCCTTCATATTATGTTTGAAATACTCATATTTCATGCCTACTTTGATTCTTAAAATATTGGTGTGTAATACCTTTGATTTACTAAAATGATGATAAAAATCTTCTTTCTGATTACCTAAATTTCAATGTTATTCTCACATTTTTGTGGTATGTTTTAGGAGGACAGTATCTAACTGTCATGCAACCAAAGGGAAAATCTGGAAAAGTAGCTCGCTTAGTCCTTCCTCTTGGACATCAATCACACCCTGAAGATCTTTGCCTATCATATAGACATTTTATGTCAGGAGTAAATGCTGGAAAACTACAAGTCTTTGTAAGAAGGTCTGGGGCACATGGGCCTCCTGTATGGGGCAGGAATGGAAGTAATGGTTGGGGAGAGACACACATAACCCTGCCTGGGTCTGGAATCAAAAGTGTAAGTACAATAGATTATTTTCTAGGATTGTTTTGGAACTATCAACTTATAAAGTACACATTTGTCCTTCCTTTTCACCACTGCTTGCAATTCTCTAATGTTAACCTTGACTTGCTTGTCTTCCCTATCTGGATATATCCTTTTTATTTTCTTTCTAAATAAATAGTTAATCCATCACAACTCTGTCTGTACAAAGAAATGCTCTGTAATAAAAAAAAAAAAAATCTCAGGATGTACTCTATTTGGGTTTTCTAATCCGGTGGGAGGGAGAGAATATTAGGTGGCATCTTTTGCTGAGGACTTTCTCCTCTTCGTCACATAGCCGGTGACCACCGTTTCTTGCAATGTCTTCCCTTAGTCATCTAAGACAACAGATAAGCTAGCAAAACTTTCCCCATTTTATAACAAACATGGGAGTTGCCTCCAAGAGCTGGGTTCATCTCCAAATATATGGTGGAACTGTCTCGTACTTCAGTTTTTTTTTCTGGAAAAAAGTTAATTTCAATTAACTTAACCTTTCCTTGATTCTTGTTTCTGCTATTAATGTTTTCTGCTTCTGTTTTTTAGAGAGGAGCCACCTCACTAGTTCAGGGCCTCAGGTGTCCCTGTATTCCACCAGTTCCTTCACTTAAGTCTTATTGCCCTCAATTGTATATCTTGACTTACTCAGTTTCATAACACTTATTCATGTTCAGTATGATCGATGATGTGGTATATTTAACATGATATTGGTTCCATATACATGTATATGCCTAAAAAATGTTATGTTTGTTCATTGGAAAGTGACCTACTGTATGCCATCCTCTTTGTGTTGCGCTTAAGATGTAAAAAAGAAAAAAAAATCTAAATTCACAGTAAAAAGGTAGACATTAACCACTTCTAGTCCAAAGACTTTTACCCCTTTCCTGTCCAGGCCAGTTTTCAGTTCTATCACACTTTGAATGGCAATTGCGTGGTCATGCAAGACTGTACGCATATGAATTTTTTAGCATTTTTTTTAGACAGATAAAGCTTTATTTTGGTGGTATTTATTCACCACTGGGATTTTACATTTTTTTTGCTATATAAATGAAAAAGTCCAAAAATTTTGAAAAAAGTTTTTCTTATAAAATTTTGCAAATAAATAATATTTCATCATAAATCTTGGCCAAAATGTATTCCATTATCTTTTTAGAAAAAAAATAAGCCAAATTAGTTGCTAACCAAAAATTATAATTTTTATACTTTTTTTTTTTTTTTACATTTTTATTTTATATTGTTTTTTTTTGCTTTTTTTTTTTTTTACATACTGTCACCCAAGCAGTACAGTGTCACCATGAGGACACTGTACTACTTGTGTGGGTGATGATGAAGATTTTTTTTTTTTACACTGATTGTTTTCACACCCATAAAGGCTGTAAAAGAAATAATTTCTCCTCTCTGGCTGCATTCTTGCAGCCATTGAGAAATACTGTGTGAGCTGTGATTGGTCACAGCTTGTCACATGGTACAAGGCTGTTGTGAATAGCATTGTACCATGTGACCGCTGTGATCATTCACAGATTTCACACGTAGTAAGCAATGATGTCACAAGTGACATCTTGCTTACTACTCTGCATGTGATCACTGATTAGCGCGCAAAAGCAGAGGGCGGGGAGGCCGTTTATAAATGGCCACTCGCTCCTGCAATGCCACCGTCTGGCTGTTTATATACAACAGCCGGATGAGAGGTGGTTAGGCACTAGAAGCATTATATATATATATATATATATATATGTGTGTGTGTGTGTGTATGTATGTATATGTATATACAAACACAACTTTTTACTGATGTAATTTTTTGGGATTTATATATAAATTTTGGGGGCCAGTTTAAATTTGTCACAAACGCACTGTTATACACAACTCAGTCAACATGGGCCTCACACAGGAGAGTTATTCAGGTGCTTCTGCGCATGTGTTGGTTTAAATAGTATGACAACATATAGCTGTGAAGGGAAATTAAATAACCTTGAAATGTTATTCTACTATTTTCTTAAAATGAGGTAACATTAAAATGTTATCATAGAATTGATCTACTCTAGATTTCTTTCAACCATATTAAATTTGTTTTGTAGATAATTTTCAAAGCAGAAAGAGGCAGAGATCGAACGGGACAACTTGGCCTTGATGATGTCAGCTTAAAAAGAGGCCAGTGCACTAAAGCATAAAAGACAACACACCTGCAGCTAAAGTGAATGACAACCCAGTGCAGAGAGGGGCAGGAAAATGGATCATCAATCACCAAAGCCGTTGTGAAACAAGAGACAAAAATGTCACAACAAACGAGAACGGAAAACCCAGCAATCGCTCCTCTTTGACAACGGGCACAAGAACTTGAAGATGGTTTGTTTCCAGAGAACATTTTGATGGGCTATGGTTCCTAATACTGTACACACCCTACAAGAGACCATATCCTGAGGAAGAGAACCTATTCAGGAGGAACTTGTCTGGTCTGGTGTGAAGATGATGCTTGAAATATATGTGCTCGAGCTTCTGAAAGTACAAACACCACTGATATGACGATCATTTTACCACTTATAGTGGAGGGAAAAGCTTTGTAAATGCATAATGTATACCTAAGTATTTATCAACAGAGATGAACTCCGCATTTTTTATGGGAATAGCATGTTAATAAATTATGGTGAATAACTGTCAAGGTCAAACATCCACTCAGTCCTAATGGTGCTTTTCATTAGTTATTGTTGGCTACCATGTTGCATATTCTTCTGTATAAAAGCTAAATCCATATTGGTGGCCTATTTAGTTTGGAACATGCCTGCAGGAAAGGATCCGAAAATGGGACAATCTTCCCTTATTTTGTAAATTGTAATAATGACACATCAGTACTTTCTCAAATGGTTGCTTGCTGTCTTTTTTTTTTTTTTCCAGTCCTAATATGATATATACATGTGTATTGCTGCACAATACATAATATAATGTCCCTGCTATATAACGGGGTTTAAATACTGACAATGCCAATGACATAGAAATGTTAGTAAAACATAAATAAACGTTCATGGAAGTTGGTTGGGGAGACAATGGAGGCAGAAGAGTGAATTATGGGAACTACACTAGACCTTGTCTGTGTGCATGAAATAAGCTTCTGACTGTAGTGAGAAGCCTAGTCAATGCAAAAAAAATGGGTAAAGCAAAACAGAAGGCCTCAAACTAGACACATAGTATACCAAGCAAAATGGTTACGGTAGATTAAATTGCTGCATTACAAATTAGTATTCTTTAAAACTTTTGGAAACTTAGCCTGGGCAAAAAAAAACTTGGCCTGTAAAATATCATCCCAGAGATAACTCTGATCATGGATCTGTGATGACAGTTGAAGTGATAGAAAATGTATTCCAACAATGGAGAAACTGTAAGTTTTATGTTACAGTCTCTTCAATAGATATATTATGAGTTTTAAATGATTACATGCATTTAAAGTAAGTTGTAATTAACATATGGATAAATATTAGAGTCAGATCATTGCATTTTTAGACCTAAACTGTAGTAGAAGAGAAAAAGAATAATGAACAGTTGTCATTTTGGTTGATCAAATGTCTGGGTGTACACATACAAAGAGAGGAGCGATGTTAAAGGGGGCAGGACTACACCTACAGGCTAATTTTACGAGATTTGCTCAAGCCTATCGCCAAACTGATGTGGAATTGTGACATTTCTATATGATGTTTATCTACATCTAGGTCATTTTCAGCACAATCTAAAATATGTATGTTACAGTAGTGCTGTTTGAGGAGGAAAATGTTTGGTTAAGGTACCCTAACTTAATGACTTGGTCACCAAATGTAACAAGTGCAGGCAGTGAGATCTTTACAGATTTTACCATGATGGATCAAATGTCTAGATCAATGCAGATATGTGCACTGAGTTATTTGGTTTGCCACAGTTTTTTTATACCTGATGTTTGGTGGCAATTCAGGAAGTGCCCCTTTCAACAACCATCTATATACTGTAAGCCTTTAAAACAGCAAAGAGCAGTGCAGGAACACTGACATATATGAAATTATGCTTGCACATCTGCAGTGTATCTGGAAGTGTGGGCTAAAGAACCTAAATCACCCAACTCACATTAGGGGTGCTGCACTTGTCAGGATGCCGTATGGGTGACCTAAGGATCCAAAGTCTGCTGCACCTCTATGATTATGATCAGTAAAAATGTTCTAGTACTTCCAATTAACAGAAAAGTAATCTCACATGTGGTCCCACCACACAGATACATCATTGGGGAGCTAATGTTTTCATATATGTAGGACACCACTGCAGGTTATAACTTTCTCAACCTTCTCCAAAACAGTGGAATTGAGTTATTAAAGAAGTATAGGCTGTTCACTTAGGAAAGTGAATTTTCACTTAGCTTAATGAATGAGGTGAGTTTGTGCTGACTTCAATCATTCAATCATGCGTGAGCTAGAATACGGTTTTTCTTTTAATTTTCCTTGCATGTATTTTTTTTATTTTTTGCAAAGTGAATTTTCACTAAGCTAAGTGCTAGTTCCCTAATTCACTTTGCAAAGTGAACATGCTAGATTTGTTTAGTAAATCAACACCACTATGTAATTATATCCTTATCAACGCTGGACAACCCAATTTACTAAAATTATTATATTATGTAAAAAAAATTTGTAAAAAGTTATGCTTTTTATTCACATGTATATAGTTTCAGATACAATTATATCAAATTCCTTAAACACCTATTAGGTCTCAAAGCAAACAATGCAAACTTTTGTGCCGTTATCCTTAAAAAATAAATGTGTTAGAGCTTACTTAAAGCGGTTCTTCACTCTATAAAAAATAAATTAATAAATAAAAGTCAGCAGCTACAAATCCTGTAACTGCTGACTTTTAATAAAAGAACACCTACCTGTTCAGAGATCCAGTGCCATCTGCACCCAGGCTAATTCTTCACTAGTCTTTGGGTTCCTGGCACCGGCATTTTTAGTATGGGAAGCTGACAGTGATTGCTTGCAGCTTCACAGCTGGTTTCCTACTGTGCATGTGCAAGCCATGCTGTGCTTTTTGAATGGTCCCGCAGCTTTCTGGGACCTGTGATGTGTCCCAGAAAGCTATGGGTAAAAGAGGGGGGCGACCTTCCTCTTTAATTGCCTAAGTGATCCAAGGGGAAGTGGGAGCAGGTACCTCCCCCACTAAAAAAAACAAATAAAAATGACCTGCCAAATGTGGTAGAAGAGGGGAGGAGGACTTAAAGTGGAACGTTCCCTTTTGGGTGAAGTTCTACTTTAATAAGGCAAGCAGCAGTTTGCTAACTATAGGAATCTTTGACAACCAGTCAGCGTTCATCCATAACAGGCATTGCTACAGTGAACTAAAAGATTACTCTGGTTTGTAGCATTTTGCACATCACGGCTTTGACTTATTAAATATTCCTGAGACCTGTTGTATAAAGAAATTGAGGTGTTGCCAGTACAGTCTGATCAGATTATAGCTCACAAGATCTGCATAGTACATTCTCTGAAGAACAGGAATCTCTGTCTATTCCTACTTACCAATAGCTGTGCAGAAAGTGAGTGAATGACAAATACAATGGGGGATGCATTTTTCTTCAGGACTGAAAAATTGAAAAAACTGAAAAAACTAATATGATATTTGTCTCAATGTTCCTTGTGGAAACCGTTGTATTTGTATATTATTTATTATTCTGAAAGGCAATAGGCAACAGTCACTCCCAACATTACTTTTATCCACAGATACTGTATATTACTATGCTATAGTCATCTGACATTCCAGCTCACAGGTATAGTGTTCACCACAGGGATTTATCAATATTATAAACAAGTATAATATTTGTGTAGCCCGATTTTATGTATTTAATAAATGGAATTGTTTTCACAACACCAGGTGTATGGATCTTAATATTTTGCATGTATAGTTTTAATTAGTCTTTCTTAATATTTTGTGAGAAGAAACCAAAGCACTAAATGTACAGGAATACTGCAAAAGCCTGGTTGGGTAACAGCATAACTTTTTATGTCTATAATAGGCTCCACCATAGCCACAGTCTTCTACTGCTTAGAGTAACATTTTTGATATAGTATAAAAGCATGAACACAGAAAATGACCGGGGCAGCCCAGCGTAAGGTTGCATTTGAGGATTGGACCATTATTCCTAGTGTACTTTTGGCAGCTGAATTCCCTTGGCTCAGTATGGCTTTAAAACCTTTGAAGATTTTTTTTCTCAAAATATCCATGGTTTTAATTCTCCGACCAAACATTCTAGTGTTCCATCATCTTAAGTCCCAAGACGTGGACATAGTCTGTCTGCAGGAAACAAGGTTTTCTCAATCCTCTGCGCCACGCTTCCTCTCTCACCATTATCTGACCTTTTTTCTCCGTTTCGGCCCTTGAGAAGCATAGGGGCTTGGTGATTGCTTTTAGATGCAATCTGCTGTTTATTTGCAACCTGGAAATAGCTGATCCCACCAGTAGGTATTTGCTCCTCCGGGGTACCCTTTGGGACCAGGAGGTGACCCTGGTGGTTATTACGCATCAAATAGATTTCAAAACAAATTTTTTTTTTTGTTGAAGGTGATTTTGCACCACCAACGTGGTATTCTCTTATTGCTGGGCGATTCGAATGTTGTTCTTAATTCCTCTGTCGATTGCCATTAGGGATCCCTAGCCATGACCTTTCTCAGAAATTGCGTGATACACTGCAAGCTTATGATTTGGTTGATGTCTGGTGGGAAATGCATCCTATGTCGCGGGAATACACTTTTTATTCGGCCCCACACTTGAGCTTTTGTAGAATAGATCACGTTTTCATTTCCTTCCAAAATGTATCTTTAATTCAATAGAGTGTCATCTCGACCTCACCCTGGTCTGATCATGACCCATTGATCTTTTCACTGTGTCTTTCTGTTATGGCTCAGCCCTCTTTTCTGTGGAGACTCAATGAATCTCTGCTCGCCACTCAGGCTTCTTGCTCTCAGGTTCTTTCGCACATTCAATCCTATTTTACGGACAATATGGGTTCTGTATCCTCGGCTGTCTCTCTATGGGAGGCTTATAAAGCCACTATTAGGGGTCATTTGATTCAGATCGCCTCGTCTAGGAAACGGGCCAGAGAGAAGAGGATGTTGGAATTGACCTCAAGATTGGCCGTGGTGGACGCTACTTGGAAAGCCTGCCCGACTAC